AAAATCTGACTTTATTAGAATGTAATAGACCATCATGGTGTGTTAAAGATGCTAGGGTATGGTTGGGATGACAAGGGTGGGCCCCCGGAGTAGGTAGAGTCGTGTGGAAATGTATTTGGCACTTCTAGGAAAAACCTAGTAGTAAAACGTCAAAAACCTACTGGTAGAAAAATTCCAGTAGGTTTTTCTACTGGTAGGTTTTAAGGTTCTACCGGTAGGTCATAATGGGGATGCTAGCTTAGGACCAGCTTTTGTAATTTTATCATAACGTTTGATCCCACTATATGATTGAGCTGAAATTTTGACACAATATAGAGAACATCCAGATCTGAAACTTTCATGTTTTAAACTTTTTTATATCGAAGTGGATCATGGTAAACAATGGCAAATACCAAGGTACTAATACCAAATTGTGTGGGTGCCGGTACCTATATTACCAAGTACCGATACCTCCTTGATTTCTTTCACTTTTAAGCCTCAAAATCATCATGTAATGTGTTCATCTTTTCACCACTCGTCCAAACTTAGTTGTAGGGTTCCGAAAGCCATCAATTACTCTATGATTACCTGCAACATCAAAATTTCCACATTATTCACAAATTTGATGAACTCTAACTAATTAAATGTAAAGTTGACTTAAAATGCATGTAATGAGGCCGTTAAATATGCAATATTATGCACTCATCACACCCCAACTTAAACTTTGCTAGTCCCTGGAAAACTAAATGTAAAAATTTGGCAAACAAAAATAAACCTACACTAATTCTGCTATTCCATTTGGCATATGCAACAGGCCTTTAAACCCCCTAGGTGATCCCTAGTGGATGAGTTTTGTCTTGTGAAGGTTTCTAGTAAAGGTATCTACAAACTTGTTTTCCTCATATCAAACTTTTGAAACATATGCTCGTATCCTAACTAGCACTGGGTTGTCAAAAATAACTTTGTCCAATGCACTTGAACTAATCAAACATGAATCACATCATAGCCTTAAATGTCATTGTAGAGTATCCACCTACACATTTCCTTTCAAAACTCGTGTGTGTGTGAAATAAATATATAATCTAAGCATTTACTTAATGGAATTCACATTCACTTAGTCATCCAAATTTAGCTTTGATGCAAAACTCACCGAGGGTTTCTCTCAAAAATGAATAACTCAATGATTATCCGAGCATGCTTTCCATTTGTATATGTGAGATAGAATCTTATGCACAAACCAAAATCCTCACATATAATCTAAAAATGATGTGCATGCATAACAATTGTAATGAACTTGGCATAATCTCATGAATGGAATGTTAGGGCACTAAATAGCAAAACCAACGTTTCTTTTCATTTAAAGTGTGTTCTTACCATACTTTCTATAGATCATTTATGGCTTTCAAGGATTGTAATGAGGCCTTGGGGTGATACTTGGATTGAGTGAAATGAAGGGTAGAGGGAGACAAAAAGCGTTATTCTGAGGGCATGACCTTTATTATCGAAAATCTTCTTTTTGTAGAATTTTCAACTTTACACCTTCACGTCACTTTTTGTCTCTTTTTTTTTTTCTTTTCTCAACATTTTTCTTTTCTTTTCTTTTCTTGGTCAACCTCATTTTCTCATTTTTCTTGGATTCTTCTCTTCTTTTTCATTCAATGCCAATCATCCCTTTTTTTGGGTTTCCTCACCAAATTTCCCTTTCTTCATGATTAATCACAGTCAGTCTCAGAACAACCAAGGTGTGGTAGTTGTAATCATTTTGCACTATCTTGGTAAAACATGTGGCATGGAAATGAAATTTCAATTAAGGTTGAAATACGACACAAGGGATAAATTTTTCACAAGAAAAAGCTAAGGCTAAATGCAATTCAAAGATGGCTGAAGATCATCTCTAGATAAGCATGGGGACACATATTGCATTTTAAGACAAAGTTAATCAACTATCCATATGCACTCTAACCAAAGCAAGTATAATGAGACTATTGAACAAATTTGAATTTGAAAATTTGTTCCTTTGAGTAAATGTATGTTCTCTCCAACAAGTATTGGCACTAAAGCTCACACGGGTACTTATTTCATCTCCACTATGCATGTCAAGCTTTAAAATGTGGATCCAATCAGTAAATTATCAAAATTACACATTCAAGGTGTATTATGGTTGAGTTCGAAGAAAACACATATGTGATACTCAAGCATAGAATAAACTTCTATGCCGTGCTTATGTGTTCAAAGTTCAAAATGAAGATCAAGCAATCACAAATCTCATAACAATTAGGATAGGTGAATATAGTTCAAAATATAGTTAGCTTTGTGAATTGCAAACACTCTCTCTTTTCCATGGGCCTTGGGATAATGAAAAGCATACTCGGCCACCCTCAAACTTTCTTGATGAGTAATGATCTTGAGGCTTTCAACAACCGCCCTCACCAACTAGCACCAGATGCAAATGCAAAGAACTCCATCAAAATAATACACAACACATTTTCGTGCATGCATTTGCATATTACTTAAACAAGCTTACTTGATGTTCAAGACCGCTATATTCTCCTTCAGTGTTTTCATGAATAGTGATCAGAGTAACATCATCATGCCAAGTCTTGTATCCAGGGAGACTACAACACGGTCTAACATTGGCATAAAGGTTTAGCTCTTTCCTCAAAGTGAGGTTCAACGAATGATGACCTTGTTTTTTTTGGACTAATTCTAGACTTTTCCATGTTTGAAAACTTTGGTTTCTAGGATCTATTTACTGCGCAACATTGTGCTCTTCCCATTCAATTGGCACATCAACGGTTTTGAATATCTGCATAATGCAAAATGATAAAATTTAGAGCAACCTAAAAAACCTATAGCATAACATGTATCATCCATATTCCATAAAAAAAAAGTCAATAGACTATTGCAGATGACAGTGACTTGCTAATATGCTTTTAGGAAAATCATGTGTCTCGGTACATATATTTTTCTCTACACCATCCATTTAACATATAAGAATGAAAATTCCAAGTTTCACAATCATTTCTCAAGCTCCAAGAAACAAGATATTCCTAGCTCCACTTTTTGGGAAAAGCGCATCCAGAAATTTTCAAGCTTATGTATTGCTACAAAGGAATAGATAAAACTGGTACAGAGGTTAACTGCCCAACCATTGGAGTTAGAGTTTAATTTTATTTTAAGGATGCAAAATAAAATTTTAAGTTAGTACTTTTGGGTGGCATTTTGGTATTACTTAGCCTGCTCAATAGATTTTGATAGGGAATCATGAATAGGTACTCTCCATGTACTATTCCAACTTAGCATAAAGTGGAATTTTGTCTTAATCTATTTTTTCATCAAGCAAAGTGTAGCTTGCATTCTTAATTTTGTTCCATTAAAATATATAAAGTGCATTAAGTTTCAAAAACATATTACAATGCCCATCATCGATGGGGAAAAAAATTTATTTTGGGATCGTGGCATGGAATTAGGGTCTGAAATAGGAATTGATGCAAAAACATGGTACATAATTTGAAATGGTTTTGTGTAAACTCCTACTCCAAACTAACAATGCAACATTATTAAACCATATCAATTTAAGAAAACCCTTAAATATACACATAATTGTCCATATAATGTTGCAATAACTCAAGAGACAAGGAAAAATCAATTTACATAAAACTCAAAATTTAGATGTTAATCATATCACAAACCCTAATCCACGTACTAAAATAGCAAATAGAAATCAAATGAATCAGATACAAAGGAGTCAAACTAAAATATATACTTTGAGTCTTATGAATTGAGAAAGAAATATGGACCCTTTTTATGGACTCCACAATTTTATTGATACCATTGCCGAGGAAGAGAGTGGCTCGTTTCAGATTATAGTTAGATAGGGCTAAAGAGAAGCTCTGATTGAAAACCCTAGCTCCAAAATTCTTAGGGTTTGCGAAGATCTCCATGGCGCGATTTGGAAGCATGCGTCTAACAATTTGAGAGGCCATTAAAAATGATTCGCTTAATCATCAATGAAGGAAGAGAGAAAAAAACATAACTTTCTTATTGTGGAGAGAGAGAGATATAGAATATATTTCGAAGGAGAGAACTGAGAAAGAGAGAAGAAGGGTCGTATGTTTAAGTAGACCATATATAGTGTGCCATGTTAAAAGATCATTTTTTTTGTTAGTAAATGTAAAATGTCAGTAGGACCCTTGTGGCACAGGTAGGGAGCTGGACATGGCTCCCCCTATAATTTGTATAACCTGGGGTACATAAGATGGTTTCAGAAGAGTTTTAGGTGTCAAAGAGACTTCGACCCTCCTTTGATAACTTACTTGTCTATACAAAAGAAGATATGTGGACCAATCAATCATGAAACAATAATATACTATTTTATTCTTCCCTAATTAGATTTATAAATTAAATTTGTTTCCCACTCACTCTATAAAAAATATCTTTTTGGTAAATGGAAAGGCAATAAAAAAATAGCATTCTAATTTCTTTGGAGCTTTCATTCTTCTCTCACCAAAATTCCTAACAAGTTAGTCCCTTAAAAAACATAGAAGAACATGTTGCCCCCATAACCCCAAAGTATATTCTTGAGTCTTTCACCCAATCATTGATTAGACCAAAATAATTTTAGTCTCTAAATTTTTTTCCATTTATTAACCAGTCATTATTATTAAAATCTATTTTTTTGTTTATCTGATTTTTGTGTGAATAATTTTATTTATATTGAATATTTTACTTTGTTATATTAGAAATTTGAATTTTTGTGCTTAAGATTTGTCCCTCCCAAGGATAAAATCCTGGCTCCGTCCCTGTTTTGGCATGATGTGGCACTTCATTTTTATGGAATTAATTTTATGCTAGAATTTTAAGATCAATTGTTCAAAGTTCTCATGAAAATTATCATCGTATTATTTGAAAATTGGGTAATACTAGATTAATCAAAATGATTTGAAATGGGAATTAAATGACGTAGTGCTGATATATTCTATTGTTATTTATTTAAATTCAAAAACCTTTTAATATAGCAATGCCTCACTAATTGAATTTTATTCTTGGTCTCATAATTTAATCAGTATAGTATTATTTCTAAAATTAAATTGTTCAATAATAAAAAAGACCATAATTCTTTGAAGAGTAATGTTGGTTGAAACTTAAAATATATATCTAATTTGTTTAGCTAATGACTGTAATGTGGTCCAATAGTATAATTGTGACAGTAACAGTTGAAATTCTTCATTGTCAATTACTTTAATGCATTTTCCTTAATCTCCAAACATAATCTCGGTTGTGTGTATATGACTTATACGAGTAGGTGAGTGTCACTCTCCCTTGGGTTTGATGCAAGAAATGGAGAAAATCATGTGTGTGAACAAAAAAGTGTGTGTGTGTGTGCGTGTGCAAAAGTGCTCCCCAGGCAAAGAGAGACTTGCAAAGTCGTGTTTTACTTGGAATGGGTATTCCAAGGTCATCTTCTCAGGGAAGGAAGGTCAAATTGTTTTGAAGGATGATTTGAAAAGAAATGAAAAATGTAAAATCTTGTGAATTTTGGTTTAGTGAGTTGTGTTTTGATAAAAATGTAAGAAAGTATGGTTGGCTAATCCAAAGAGGTCAGTCAAGTGGGAATGCTAAATCAACTTAATTCATTCAACTAATTGTGTCTCAGTGTTTGATTGATTTGTAGGAAGTGAGGGACTAATGTGATGGTGTTGGGCTCAAGCATACCCCGTGACAAGTCTACAAAGTATCAAGAGCTCACAGCCGTATGTGCACTCAACCTAGTCAAACCAAACACTTTACCCTACGAGAAAGAATTGAAGAGTGTTAATTTCACATAACCAATAGGAAGTTCCCATTGGATTAGCCAACTAAAATTTTAGCTACTCATAGTCAAAGCAATAACAAATACAATGTAAAGAGACATGGTGATGAAATAAAACATTAAACTTGCATTGATGCAAGAAGAGATTAAACTACAAAAGCAAATTCATTTCATAATCAAAATACAAAGCTTGGAAAGAAAACCCAAATATAGACATGGAAATACAAGAACATTAAGCTAGATTTGAATACAAAGTAGAATAAGCTTACTACAATGAAAATAGTGAAAGAAATGCAAAAACCCAACTTTCTCTCTCTACAACTTCATCTTCTTCCTTGGAACTTTTCTCTCTAAAAGCTTCTGTAAACTGAATAATGGTGTAAAACTTGGTCAAAATTTGTCCATACCCCCTCCTTGGTCTATGAAAATTGAGTTGCAATGAGTGGGAAGAGATTGGACACTTCAACAAGCAAGGACAAGTCAAGCATGCACCTCCCATGGTTCACCAACCACACCTATTCTCTCTCTGCCCTCTCCTATGCTTTTCTCTTCCAAAATCTGACTTTAGGGTGTAAGAGACCATCATGGTGTGTCAAAGATGTCAAGGTATGGTTAGGATGACAAGAAGTGGGCCCCCGAAGTAGGTGGAGTTATGCAAGCATGTTTCTGGCACTTCTGGGAAAAACCTACTGGTAGGACGTCAAAAACCTACAGGTAGGTTTTTTCAGTAAGCATTTTCTACCGATAGGTTAGTGGCAAGGGCTGCAGTAGAAGAACTCCAATGCACAAGACAGCCTATGATCCTAGAGACTCTTCTACTGTGCCGACTTCCACTAAACCCTACGTGCAACTACCAAAAGCAATAAAACTAAAATGATCTCTCTACTAATCATCATCACCCTCCTCGTAGTCATCACCCTACTCATTGCCAGTCTTCTCCTTATCAGACTCCTCCACCTATAAAGTAATAAAACCCATGGGGGCAGAGGTGGATGGCCCGACAACAGAAGGAGAAGGCATATCAAGGATCGACTCTCCAGGAAAGGTCTGCTTAAACATCCTGGTCATCATTATTGAGAGCCACTGCATGGTCCCACCGAGGTCATCTAGCCTCCCCTTTGTCGCGTCTAGGCACTTAGGGACCATACGAGGAGAGACAGCGGTGGATGGCCCAACAATAAATGGTCCGACTATGTAGGGTCTGGTAGTGGATGGCTCAGCTCTTGGTGCCCTCGCCCTCTCTTCCCTCTGAGTCACCCCTCCGGTCATGGCTGACCTCTTCATATTACTAGACTTGTCAATGGCTCGGAACTCTAGGGGGAGGGTCACATCTGTAGGGCTGCACTTAACCTTGTGGTGGTGGCATATCTTGGTAACAAGGTTGGCATACGGGAGATTTTCCTTTGGCTTGCTAGCCTGGGCGTACTCCTTCATGACCTCCCAAATCATAAGGGCTATGTCCATCCTCTTTCCTGTAATGAAAGCATAGAGGAGGGATAACTTATCTTCCCCGGGGGTCTTCTCCGCCCCTCGAGGTAGCAAGTTGTAATGCAACACCTTATTCATCACTCTGTATGAATGTCTGAGTGCCCTGACTTGGGTCTGAGTGCCCTGACTTGGATATGACCTTTGAATTGTGGCAAGTCCTCATACATCAAGTGCACATACTCTGGAAGTGATTTCCTCCCTTGGGTGTTGTTACGGTAGATCGGGACATTGGGAGGAGGTCTCTGATAATGCAAAACCTCTGCAAGTACCCCCGGTGTAATCTCTATGCCCTTCCCCCTCACATTTGTCTTAAGCAAAAACACATCCTCGTCCACCACGTTCAATCGTTGGTAGAAGTCCCTGTACATAGGAAGGATGTATCCACCCACGGGCTCAAACCAAATGTCAATGTCTTGCCCCTTAATCACCTTGACCACTTTGTCAATTGGCCTGAGGGTGGGCTTGTCCAAATGATGCTCGCACGTCGCACTCTTCTCCTCAATGCTCTTTGTATGGGTATCATTCTTTTGTTTCTTTCCTCTCTCCCCATTCCCACTTCCACCATTGGGGCTCGCCACCGTCCTCTTACGGGATCCCTTTCCCACATGTGATGGAGGACTTGGCCCCATTTGCTTGGTTTAGGCCATAAAAAGCAAAAATTCCCTTAGGGCTGCAAATGGCAATACCCAACACCACAACTTATCAAGTAAATCAAATGAAATGCTAGAATACTTAACCAATCAAGCCATAACGTTAGATTCCAAACCCCTAAAATAACCTAATCCTTTTTTTGCTATGACACGCATAGAAATATGCCACTGACGTGAGTAAAGCCAAAGCAACAATAGTATTTATGTCATTTATGGGTGCAGCTAACTCCCCATGAGGTAATTGTATGATTTTCCAAGGTAAAAGAGCTCCTGACCAATTAGAAACAAAAATAAATAGAAACATAGTTCCAATAGAAGGAACCCAAGGACCATATTTTGTGAGAAAATGAGGGTTTTGTGGGAGAAATTGGATGACATACAAAGTAATCACATTGAAATTCGATTTAGGGAAGTTAATTAGGAGATTTGATGAGTAGGTAGGAGTTCTTTGAGGGTTTGAAAGGTTTTGAGGGAGAGGAGAGGGTTACTAAGGTGGAGAGGATTGGAGAAAATGAAAGGTTTTGTTGAAAAATTAGACTTAAACCCTCATTTTGTTTTTGAATTCTGGGCAAAATCTAATGGTAGAACGATCAAAACCTACCGGTAGGTTTTGTGCACTGGAAAATTCCTACCGCTAGGTTTATGCAAACTTCTACCGGTAGATTTAGTTTTTTCCAAAAATGTCTCTGTGCTTTGGTTCTCACCTTCACTCCAAATTTATTCAACTTCTACACATTCTAATGACCTATTTACAACCTCAACTCCACCAAAACCCTTAATCATGTTTTGAACCATGAATGAGTGACCCATGCCTTACTTCATTCACAAAATTGAAATTCGATTTGAGTTTTTGATGTTTTCAAAACACATGACATGGAATTCTAAATTCAAGAAACAAAATGAACATCTAATATATAAATCACAGATTGAAATACAAAGGGCATTCCTATTCCTTCTTAATAGCTAAAGTTTGAGCAATATTCCCCAATCCTATAGGCATAGGGTTGCTTGACAAAATTATTCAAATATCCGAGCT